TCATTGCCCATCTCTGTTCTCTCACCCTCCAGACTCAAACTGTGACCTATCCCTGTTGCCGTCTTGTGGATGTCCAGCCATCAGCTGAAACGTAACATCGCCAACACCAAGCTCTTAAATCGTCTCTGCAGAGCCCTCCCCTTTCTCACAGTAGAGAATCAACCTAGTATCACCATTAACCTCCCTGTTGCTTGAGCTCATTATTACCCACAAAAATCTAGGACACGCTGCCTATACCCGACCAAGAGCTCAAGGCATGACCTGGTTAATTTAGGTATCCTGTGATAGGTTCCCCCTGGGGTGCCACTTGAAACTGGGGTGCCACTGAGCCCGCCAGACCCACCAGATTGGGTTCCCTTTACGCTGTGCTGCTGTGACCGGCTCTCAAGCCTCCTTCCAGCACACATACAGGTAGGACGCACCCAGCTGCAGTTTCACAGAGATGCTGAGATCAGCTCTGCATGGGAAAGCTCAGCTAAGGAATTGCTCAGCACTCGAGTGCACATCCACTCTGGAATGTAAACCCAAAATTGTATCATCTTGTGCTGCACAGAGACCTATACAGCATAAACTCACTGAAATTCACCCCCTCCCTCAATGTGGAGAGAGTTACGCAACAGCTTTTTGCCCCAAGTTATAATTTCCACACACTGGTTTTAGAGAAAACAAAAACAAGTTTATTAACTACAAAAGATAGATTTTAAGTGAATATAAGTGATAGCAAACAGATCAAAGCAGATTACCTTAGTAAATAAACATAACCGCAAACTGAGCTTAACACACTAGATAGATAGGATATAAATTAGCAAATTCTCACCCTGAGTGATAAACAGGCCAGCAGATTCTTAAGGCACTAGTTTCCTTGGCTTCCCCACGTTTTCAGACACAGGCTAAAAATCCCTCTAGCCTGTGACCATTACTTCCCACAGTACGGTCCTTGCCCTTCAGGTGTTTCCAGGTGTATTGTTGTAGGAAGAGTGAGGTACCATCATGATGTCATTTCCCCCCTTTTATATCTTCTTCCCACTTGCTGGAAAGCTGATTTGCTGTGACCTGGGTCAAACAGTTCCCATTGTGTAGTGCTATCTCCGAGAGGTTTCTATTGTACACAGTTCCTGGGGTAATCCTTGTGCTTATTTCCTCAATAAGCCATTAACACTGATTTGCCTTTTTACTGTTGTACCAAAAAGGCTGCTTGCGGGTGTTTTCAGTCTCACAACATGTTTCAGTAACACATACAGAGCCAAACTGCATAACTTCACATTCGACTACAGCACATACAATCCAACAAGATATTACTGTCTAGCAGATCAAGACATTGAGAATGATACCTCACAAGGCATACTTTGTACAAAACATATTCTAATTACATGACAATGGTGAATATTGGGGTGCCAGGGTGCCACACTTGTTTGCCCTTCTCATGTGGATAGTTCTTTGAAAACTTCAGGTCAATGCACAGGACTAATCAAAAAGACTAATAATGTTAGGAACTATCAGGAAAGGGATAGAAAATAATAAGAAAATATACTGCCACTATATAAAGTTATAGTGCATCCACATCCTGAATACTGAGTGTAGTTCTAGTCACCCCATCTCAAAAAGGATACAGTGGAACTGGAAAAGGTTCAGAGAAGGGCAACAAAGATGATCAATGGTATGGAACAGCTTCCATACAAGAAGAGACTAAAAAGATTAAGGTTGTTCAGCTTAGAAAAGAGATGATTAAAGGGTGATACAATAGAGGTCTATAAAATAATGAATGTTGTGGGAAAAGTGTTATTTCCCTTTCCCACAATACAAAAAAGAGGGGTCACCCTATAAAATTAACAGGCAGCAATTTTAATACAAACAAGAGGATTTATTTTTCCACACAATGCACAACCTGTGGAACTCTTTGCCATGAGATGTGTTGGCCAAAAGTATAACTGGGTTCAAAATAGCACTGGATAAATTCATGGAAGATAGGTCCACCAATGGCTATTAACTTTGTGCTTGGGGCAACCCTGACTACCAGAAGCCAGAAGGGGAAAACAGGTGCATCACTCCATCTGTCCTGTACCCTCCCCCTGAAACTTTAGTACTTGCCACTGTCAGTGACAGGATACTGGGCTAGATGGACCATTGGTCTGACCCAGTATGGCCGTTATGTTCTTATATTAGCCACTTGAGAGACGACAAAGGTAACTACCAGCAGGAAGGAGTAGGGCAAGGGTCTCAAACTCAGTTTACCTTAGGGCCAGTGCCAGTCCTCAAATCCTCCCAGCGGGCCAATAATGTCACTCATGCCGCCCTGGCTGACTCTGCCTGGTAATTAGTGATGCTGCCTCCATGGCTGACTCTGCCCGGCAACTAGTGATGGTATCTCTATCCCTCTCTCCCAGACAATGGGAGCTGCAGGGGGCGGCGCCTGCAGCAGACAGAGCCAGCAGGGTGGCTGCATGGGTGTCTCCTTCCCGCTCCCCTCCCCCCTCAGCCAGCAGCCATGAGGTCCGGATGAAAGAACTTTTAAAAAAGTTTCTGTGGGCTGCACTGGGGAGGTTCTCGGTCTGCAGATGGCCCGGGGGACCAGGACTTTGAGAGCCCTGGAGTAGGGAGTTCTTCCCACAGCCTCCAACTGCCTGATGGTCTGTGAAAATGTAAAAGAACTAAGCTGGATAGGAGAATAAATTCTGCTCACCGTGACTCTACACGTGGGGATCAAAAGACCAGTGAGGTAAGAGATCAATACTCCTTCCCTCTCCCAAGAGAAGCTGAGGTAAGGTCACTGGAGTACCTGGGCCCTGACCTCTGGGGAGTTGGGTTAAATGAATTTGGCTGTAGGGGAGGTCTGAAAAACCTGTCTTGCCCAATCCCCCTGTTATTAGAAGCAGTGCAAGGTTGAAAGTCATTTCACAGGGAGGAAGCTGTTCCTCACTCCCTTTGGTCCAAAGAATTGCTACTTCTGGGGCAGCTGACCCCTTGAGGGACAAAGGGACACCACACACATTCCCTAAAAGCTGCATGGGATGTGGGAATCTGAGGATCAGGTCTCAAATTCACACCCAAAGATTTTGGGGGAACAAGGTTAAAAAAGGCATGTAAGAGCTCAGAGGTTCTAATGAGAGAAATCATGCAGGATGTTTGTCAAACATCAAATGACTCCATAGATTTTTTTTGAAGGATATAGCCTGTCGCAGGGGGAGGGATAGCTCAGTGGTTTGAGCATTGGCCTGCTAAACCCAGGGTTGTGAGCTCAATCCTTGAGGGGGTCATTTAGGAAACTGGGGTAAAAATCTATCTGGGGATTGGTCCTGCTTTGAGCAGGGGGTTGGACTAGATGACCTCCTGAGGTCTCTTCCAATCCTGATATTCTCTATGAAGGAGCTTGCCAGCAGAATGTTTATCTGAATAGCTGAAATGTGAAATTATAAAGGTCATGTCAGAAACAACATCCCAGGAAATAAATCTATCCAGGAAATAAATCAAGGTTTCACCAGGATGCTGCTCAAGCACCCTAGTTACACTGAAGTCTTGGGGGGGGGGGGGGGAGGAAATGTGACAACTATGGCAATTTCCTGCAATATACTTGAAAAACATTATTGAATTAAGTTCAAGTATCTTTGCAGTCCATTGTATTAAATGCAAATATTATGTATTATTGTGCACTTTAACGATCAACAGACTGTATTAAACGTGGCAGACAAGAATGGTAATTTGGGACATCGCATGTGGAGTTCCTGGGAAGTAGCTATGGGAAGGTTAGTGCAAATATATTTTGCCAGTTATGCACAAACCCCAGACTTTTGAAGCTATGCCCTGAGGAAGGGACCATTGTCTACTAATTACCTGTGCCCAGAATCTTAAGATCAAAGGCCCAAAAGCTTTATAAAGAAACAGGCTGATCTGCTCTGTCAGTATGCTTATTCTGAGCTGAGGCTGTTATGAATTTGTAAGCACAGAAAAACTCCAAGGTGTTTTGAAGGACTAACTCCTTTACCACAGCCTTTGTTGGAAATGGGCCGGTGATCTCTGCTAAGCTTATTAGCATGATGGTAGATTTTTTGTTGTTTTCTCTGTAATGCTTTCAACTTAAGAAAAATGTGCTCTCTTAGCAGAAATGTGTGGTAACTCGTAACTGCTAACAATTACATTAATAGCTTTTGAAGAGAAAGTAAAGCACAGATGCTGACTTGTTCAGGCAGTCTGGCTTGCTGGTGATATCATAGTGTAGGCAGGGCATTGTGCAGCCTGGGGAAAAAACCTAGTCAGGAGGGAGAGAGATGCCGGTCTCTGCCTAGGTGAGGAGATGGTTGAGGGTCCAGGAGCCTAGACTGGGTGCCCTCGAAAGATCAGAGAATACAGGTGCAGGTGCCCTGAACTGTTACATTATTTATAAGTCATTTCTCAAAAACCCTCACCCTATACACTCAAATATCTCCTCCCCCAACTCCCACCCTCCCAAAAATATTAAAAGGAACCTCTCCTCAGCTCAGACAACTAAAGAAAACACAATGGATGTGGCTAGGTCAACCTGTGTTAGTTATAATCAGCTAACAATCAGAATAAATTCTAGAAAATAAATTACAGACACGTTTTAAAAACAACATGATTAGGGCTTGGAGGGGAGGGGGAACTCTTCCAAGCCCACTTGAGATGCCACACACAGGCTGTGCAGACATCACAATATTGAAGTCAGGCTTTGCTGAGTTGGTTCTGTCTCAGGGAGATGTGGATCTAAACTGGGGAAAGCACAACTTCAGCTTGAATTGAACTAGGGTGACCAGATAGCAAGTGTGAAAACTTGGGACAGGGAGTGGGGGTAATAGGAGCCTATATAAGAAAAAGCCCCAAATAACGGGTCTGTCCTTATGAAATCGGGTCACCCTAAATTGAACACAGTCCAACCCGCCGGTTACAAAGGCAAATGTAGAACTGGGACCTGAGCGACACCGCAGCCAGCCTCCAGCCTGGCAGGGACCAGCCCACCAGCAGAGCGGAGCTGCACCCCACGGCTCTGGGGGCGGCAAGGCCTGGACTGCGGCGCTGGCGGGCCGCCGAGGCGGGGCTCGGCTTCCCCCCTCAGGTCTTTTGGCTGCCGGGAGGGTGAGATCAGCAGGCGCCGGCCGCTCCCACGGCACCGCGAGTCGCTCCGCGCCTTATAACGTCCCTGCCTCCGCGCCTCGCCTTCCCCCGCGCCCTGAGCAGCAGCGAGGCAGCCGCCAGCTGGTCCCCAGCGCCCGGTCCTGCGTCTGGCAGCGAGCGGAGCTCCCCAGCGAGCGGACACGCACCCAGGCAGGTTTCTCCTCCGTGCCCGTCCGGACTGTGGGGCGAGCGGCCCCGCCGGAGCGTGGCACGTAACCGGGCAGCCCTTCAGGCCCAGCCCAGTCGCGCTGGGGCCGTTCCGCCTTCCGCGGGGTCGCCCGGGCAGTAACCGCCGCCCAGGGGGTCTCCGGCCCCGCCCACGGCTGCCGAGGGGGGCGCGCGAGCAGCCGAACCCCGCGCCAGGGAACGGACCCGACGCGGCGCGCGGCACCAGGGGAAACGAGACAGGGCAGCGCGTACGCGGAACCTGAGCCGCTCACTCAACTGCCGCCCAACCCGGCGCGTGGCCTGTGTATACCGCTAGGGGACTGGGCTCGCGACTCCTGTGCCCATTGGCTCAGAGTCAACCTGTGACATTCCACTACATCCTGATTGGCTGGCCGGCCAGGTCTGGACTCCGCCGGTCCCGCTGTGATTGTGAACAAAGCCGGAAGAGGAAAGAGTGACGGGGACGGGCCGCTGCAGGACCAGGTGAATTGTCCCCGCCGGAGCGGTGTGAGGGGAGGCGGGACCGGGCCGAGCCTGCGTGGCCGTGACTCCCCGGGGAGGCCACGTGGGCTGGCGCGCCTGTGCCGGGCTTCTTCGGCTCCCACTGCGGCCGGTCCGCGAGCCTCGGCCCGAGCCCCAGCCGCTCCCCGCATGCGGGCGGACGATGTCTGAGCGGGGCGAAGCCCCCCGGAGGCCGCTCTCCTGCCTGGGGACGTGCCCCGGCCCCCAGCCCCCCCGGCTGCCCGCGTGGGGGTCTCGGCCCCGCTCACTCCCGCTGTACAGAGAGCTGCAGTGTTCTCCGAGCCGCCCCTGAGCTACTCGCCGAGCCCGGGGCCGCATCTGCCTTAGTGTACTCGGTGATAGGCCCCAAGCCCCGGCGCTGTTGTTTGTCATGTGTGCAATTAACGTGTCGTCTTAATCACACAGCTTTCTAGGGCTGGCTTCATCTCTTTGCAATTTGTTTAATATTAGAAATGGACTAGATGCAGTAGGGGATTGGTCCGGGGCACTGGAGATAATTGGAGGAAAGTTGCATTAGATTGATAAGAAATGGACACAAGATTTGTACTTCAAAATTAACCTGTTTTACTGTTGTCCATATTCAGTGGGAAACTTAATTGAGTATTTTGTGTTCAGTGTCCATGGAGCATATGGGGCAACTTCTCCACAATATGAAGTAAACACTTTGTCTACGTTTAAACTAAGATTCTAATACTGAAAATGCTCCTGCACAGGCTTCAAATAAAGCATCTGAGTAGTCCCATGATGTGTAAAATTATGGCATTTCATTATAGTTAGTGGGAATCAGCACAGGAGTAACTTTACATTTAGGTGTAATTATTTGCAATAGCAGGCTTCAAAAATGTGTAGTCTTTGCTGTAACATAATACTGATTTAAAATGTTAGGCAGCATATAAATACTGTATTTGACAATTAAATGTTCCCTTTTGCATAAAACATTACAAATATTTATAGCAACTTTTTGGTCAAAGGATCAAAGGCACTTTCAAACTTACATTTGTACATGTTTCTATATCATTTTATCTCTATCTGCACCTTTGAAGTGAAATGTGGTAATGTTTAATAGCTCACAGCAATACTACACAATCATTTACAAAAAATGGAGATTATTATATCAAAATGAAACTACAGGTATAAGTTAGGCCAACTGTAGGAATAAGTCTTAATTTATGTAGAAAATGAATTCAGACTCTAACTCTTATTAGGTATGTCATGACGTCTTAATGATGAGGAGTTCAGGATCTTGCTTTTACATTGCTCTAATACAGTGGTTTTCAAACCATGGGTTGCGACCCAGAACTGGGTTGCGAAATGGAAGGGACTGGGCCACAGCTGCTCTAGCCAGCACCGCCAACCGGGCCGTTAAAAGTCCTGTCGGTGGTGCTGCCCGGCTAAGGTAGGCTAGTCCCTACCTGTTCCGACACCATGCTGTGCCCCAGAAGTGGCCAGCAGCAGGTCTGGCTCCTAGGCGGGGGGAGGCCCCGCGTGCTGCCCCAGCACCAGCTCCGCAGTCGCATTGGCCAGTTCCTGATCTAAAATCTTCTAAAATCTTCAGCAGCACAGTGCCCCCCTACTGCAATGCTGAGTTTGGTCAAACGCTATCTTACAGGGCTGTTCTAAACACAAGTTGCACCAATTTAACTTTAAACCAATTTTGTTAAACTAGTTGAACTCTTGCGTGATGATTCTCTCTCACTGGTTTATATTGGTTTAGCTTGCCTCTTGTAAATTTACCAACAAGCTAAACCAATATAAGCCAGGTTTCAACACTTGATCTGTCCAAGCACAAACTTAAAAATACTCCTCTTGCTATGGCACCTTTTCGGGTAATAATTCAGTTAAGCTAAATTAGCCAATGAGTTGCACTACAGCACATATGTGCTGTCTCAACTTTCTTTTGTCATTCCTTTTTTACAGGAAGCTGCAATGGAGAATGAGCTGCTGATGGCCTTTCTTTTGTCATTTTCCGTATTGTTCTGCGAAAGTCACCGTCATGAAGTAGAGCTAGCTACTATTGCACAGACCTCTGAGACATTCATTCTAGATAAGGCAGCTGGTATCAACACTGAATTGGCAATACTTATGCAGAAGCATCACCTTCAGGAACTTTTCCATCGTTATGGGGAGAACAGTACTTTGACTATTGAAGGATTTAGAAAGTTGCTGCAAAACATAGGAATAGATAAAGTGAAAAGGGTCACTGTTGGCCACGATCATGATCACCATCTTCATCATAACCATGTTATGCTAAGCAAAAACTTTGAGAGAACAGATTGCCCAAATCATGAATCTGGTGGTGTAAATAAAGGTCCTAGTAATGGTCAGGCAAAGGAATTACAAAGAGTAGAAAATGCTGAGCACAAGCAGAACTTGATAAGCAACAAAAACACTGTTATGGGAATAACTGCATCTAGCAACATCACTGCTACAGATGGCAATCCTGTATTACAGAATTCAGAAATCAGAGCAGTGAAGCCTGTTGTTCATACAAGTCTAACCAGCCCCAGTGCCATGAATGTTACAGAAAGCAGCAGTGTGAGTTTACTTGTTAATGGAAAAGCTAATGAATCACTTCTTTCCCTAAGGGAATCTGAAAGAGGGAGTTACATGTATTCTAAATTTAAAAACCAAAATACACAAGAGGTGAGACTAATGTTCTGTACTCTTCTTGGCGGCATATGCCCATTAGAAGTGTGTTAGCATGGGTTGTCTTCCAGAGACATTCATTTAACTTCTAGGAATCTTGATGCAAGCTTTGGTGTTTAAGTAAGTGTGTGTGTGTGTGTGTGTGTGTGTGTGTGTGAAATCTGAAATATACACAGACATAATTTTGCTATGTAATAATTTTACACTCCAGTAGGAATGTTACATTATTATCCATGTTGTGCCCAGGTACAAGAGGATAGTTGTGCATTCTGGTTTGTATACTGGGTTTGATTTTTATTATTTTTTTCCTTCTGGTTTCTCTCTTTAAGAGAACATTTTAAGACTAGTTAACTTCTGACACAAGTATGTGAAAGATTTTGATGCTTGTTATAGGAAAACAATTAAGTTTTCTTATGGTGTAGAAAAGAGTAGATAAGTAAAAAAAATTAAAAACAAATACTTAATACTTTTTGAAAGTTTAACATTTCTATAACCATGCATGTTGCTGAACTTATTCCAGGTAGGCTTACATTTTTCTGCTGGAAGTAAAAGGCTAGGACAGAAAGTAATTCATCCTACGTAGAAATCAATGAGAGGCCTGGGAACTTAAGTATGGATTTTATGCAAGTTTCATTATGTATATTTACTAATCATCTTTGGGTAAATGTAATCTAGTATTAACGTGTATTCTAGAGGTTGGGAGCCCTAAAGTCTGTTCACCACTCTGCAAGTGGCTTACTGCTCTGTGATCAGGCAAATAAGTCTTGCTGTACCTAACTTTTCCCTTTTAAAATGGGGGAAATAATCACCTTTGTAAAACATTCTCATTCTCTGGTGAAAGCTGCTGTCTAAGCATTCTTTACTTCTGTAATTAGAGCTGTTGTAGATACTTGCATCTTTGTCCCTGAAAAATGATCCTCCTCTCATTTCACTTCCACTTCCTTGCTGCTACCATGTATTTTCAAGTTGGAGCTTGGTTTTGAGACAGTGAAGTTTAGGTGGGATGGACCTGAGGTCAAGACAAGCAGATGATCTGAGGGAATTATGAGGTCTAGGAGGGGCTTGAAGCCTAGAAGGGACATACAGGCACTGAGTTATTCCTGAAACCATTCTGACAATAAAATAAAATTTAGTTGGAAGCCTTAAGTGTAATGAAACTTAACAAAACAAAAAACCTTCAGTGTCTTTAATGCTTTTCCCATGCATTTCAATGCAGCATAAGTTTCTTCCTATCCTAACTTCTCCTGCTTCTTAGGGCAGGTCTACATTACCTAAGCAATACCTAAGTCGATATAACTTACATTGCTCAGGGGTGTGAAAAAGCCCTCTTCTCCTCCTCTGCACCCCCCCAAAGTGACACAAGTTGTGCGCTGTCCACACTGGCACTATGTCTCCCGCTGACGTAGCTTCTGCTTCTCGCTAAAGTGGAGTAACTATGCTGATGGGAGAGTGCTCTCCCATCGGCATAGCACGTCTTCACCAGACCCGCTACAGTGGCACAGCTGCATCGGTACCAATGTAGCACTGTAGTGTAAACCTGCCCTTAATAAGGACATGGTAGTTGTCATTCATTGTCCTCTTCTGTAAAATGTAAGGCTTTTTTCCCAAAAAGAAGACTTCTGTTTTTGATTATAAGTCCAATTAATTTTGAAGTATCTGGTTTTTATTAAAGTAGTATGTAAATATTCACCCCACTACTACCTTCCACTGGAACTGTTGCACAGATTATTAAAACCCAATCACAAACATACTTTTTAATTTTTTTTAGTGAGGGCTTGATTCTACCTCTTTTCTTAAGAGGTTGGGGAGGCTTTGTAGAGACAAACCGAAATTAAAATAAAATGTCTTTTCTCTTGCTTTTTTAAAAGGGGAAAGGAATGCTCATGGACCTGTTGGCTGGTGTCACTAAATAAAACCACTGTAATGAGAGCTTTTCCTACAGCCAAATCCTTCACCATTAAGGGCCTTAAAAATCAGCAGGGCCTCTTTAAAGTCTGTTTACCCCACTGGAGGTAGCTAAGCTAAATAATTCAGGGTGTGTATGTGTGCACATAATCACAGATTCTGAATTCAGTATTCAGGCATATTGCATTCTTCACAAGCAGAGGAGAAACAAGGCTGGCAGCCGTACTAAACAGGAATTACTAGACTTTAAAGACTGCAAGTAGTGCAGTACAAAGATAGTTGCATGAAGAAACGTGTTCAGAACATGGCTTTCGATAGAAATGGTGTGATTGAAAAGATTTATTGTGAGCCTCTCAGAAGAATGACCTCTTCCCCCAGCATGACTTCTGTCTTCCTTCAGTTAAGAATGAGACAGCTCATGCATCCAGTCCAGAGGCTGAGGCTAGCCCAGGGGTCGGCAACATTTGGCACGCGGCTCGCCAGGGTAAGCACCCTGGCGGGCCGGGCCAGTTTATTTACCTGCTGACGCGGCAGATTCGGCTGATCGCGGCCCCCACTGGCCGCGGTTTGCCGTCCCGGGCCAATGGGGGAGGCGGGAAGCTGCGGCCAGCACATCCCTCGCATGTACTGCTATGCATTGTCCACCTCCCTCAGGCTGTGTGCAACATGTATTGTAGACACAAGAAAGGATAGAACCTTGAGGGAGATTGGATTTCAAAGTCTTCAATGATAGCTGTCGTCTTGGTTAGAGTGTAGTGAATAGAGGCTGCTTCCATCTATGCACAAATTTGAACGGAAACAACAAAAGGTGTGAACTGATAGGTTTAATTATTTTGGTGCGTGTGCATTGACACTTATTTCAGAATAAAACTTGCAAACGTTTATTTAGCTGAAGTCACCTTGTTACCAACCTTGGCTAAAATGGATTTCACTACTTTTGGGAGGTGCTGCTGTATTTTGAACTGGTATTGGACTACTCTTGCAGTTTTTCTAGGATGTGATAGTACTTCTGTTCTTATTAATCTTAAACATGTTTTTTCTTTCTGCAGTGCTTGAATGTATCAAAACTGATGACGTCTCATGGAATAAGTACACAAGTATTGTTGACTGCTACAGAATTCAGCTATCTTTGTCCAGCAATTATTAACCAGATTGATGGCAAATTCTGCATAATGCATGCAGCTAGTGAAAAGGCTGAAAGCCCTTCAAAAAGCAATTCTTTGCAAATAGGTAGGTTTTAATTTCTTTTTAAATTTAGAATAAATCTTACCAACAATCATTCAAATTTGAAATTTGCTTTTTTTATAGCTAATATAAATATTTAGATTCTAAACTGTTATTTTTTTCTTAAATACTTGACTTTTCTATGTGCTGTACAAAGAGTTCTTTCTAGACACCCTTATCCTCGGGATTTTCTAAGTTATTAACATCTAAATCAGTGTTTTGAAGAAAGCAAGCATCATCTGATATATTTTGTATTTCTCTTACCAGCTTGGATTGGTGGTTTTATATCAATCTCCATCATCAGTTTTCTTTCTTTATTGGGTGTTATATTGATACCTCTGATGAATCGTGTATTTTTCAAGTTTCTTCTAAGTTTCCTTGTGTCACTGGCTGTTGGGACTCTGAGCGGAGATGCTTTTTTACATCTCCTTCCACATGTAAGTATTTTTTTTTACTCCTATTAAGTCATTCATCTTAACTTGAAAAATGATAGTGAAATATGGCTTTATTACTTCATTATCAATGTTAAGTGCTTTATGAAGCCTACTAACACTAGGTTTGACTGTCTACCAAACCTAGTGGTTTATTGACATTAAAGAAAACTTGTATTAACCTAATAAGAAAAGGTGATCTACCTCAGGGGTCGGCAACCTTTCAGAAGTGGTGTGCCAAGTCTTCATTTATTCACTGTAATTTAAGGTTTTGTATGCCAGTAATACATTTGAAGGTTTTTAGAAGGTCTTTCTATAAGTCTATATTGTATAACTAAACTACTGTTGTATGTAAAGTAAATCAGGTTTTTAAAATGTTTAAGAAGCTTAATTTAAAATTAAATTAAAATGCAGATTTTATCAGTTTAGTGTGATCCTTGTCCTTGCTTTTCCTTGCTGAGTTTTCCAATGTCTGGCCCGTATTTGGATACTTTAAGCTGCACACAGGCTTCTGAGTGATCAGTTGTTAACTGGCTCTGAGAGGGTCAGAGGACAGATTTCATGTGTGAAAATACCTGTACACGCAGGTATGTGGATCCAAATGCTGAAAGCATTGCAAACGCAGTTTTTTTTCAAACAGTTAAATTTCACTGGCAGGGACGTCCAACAGGTCAGAATAGAGGCCCCGTGATCTCTCTCAGTAGCTTCAAGTGCACTCCACAGATCTACAAACTTTGATGCCCACAATTCTGAGCTTTTTAACTGAATGAACTGCATTTCAAAATCTTCAACACCCATCCACTGAAATACAGACAAATCCAAGTCGCTTTCGTTGAACTTCTCAGGTTTAATTAGAAAAGAAAGCATTGGGCCAAATCGCTGGAAATCTTGAAATCTGTCAGAAAATTCTGATTCCAGTTCTTGCATGTACATTCCAATCTCATTGACACTGACAGTGCAACGTGTTGGTAGCTCTTTTATTTGTTGGAAGTAGCGGAAAGTAGAAGTTTGAATATCCCAAGAAAAAACTGCTAGTTTTACAACAAACACCTTCCAGACTTCATAAAGTTCCAGAACCGTTTGCCCTGCACCCTGGAGACAGAGGTTGAGTTCGTTTAGGTGAGCGGTGATGTCTGTTAGAAACATGAGCTTACACAGCCATTTGTTATCATCCAGTTCGGAATAGTTTTGTCCTTTTTCCGACAAAAGGGCATCAAAACAGTTTACAAAGCGCACCGAAACCTTGCCACGACTTAGCCACCAAATGTTGCTGTGAAGTGGAATGTCATTATAAGCATTGTCCATCTCTTCTAGCAGTGCTTGAAACTGTCTGTGAGTCAAAGCAGATCGAGCAACAAGGCAATTCACAATTTGCACCACTGTATTCATCACATTATTAAGCTCTGAATTAGAAATTTTAGCACACAGGTTTTCTTGATGGATGATGCAGTGAAATTTGACTGTTGGGCGGCCAATTTGATCTTCAAGTAACTTAACAAATCCTTTCTGTTTTCCAACCATGGCAGGAGCATCATCTGTTGTCACACAAAATATTTTTCTGATGTCAACTCCTCGTTCTTCAAAATGGTTTACAAAACTTTCCACTATATCTTCCCCCTTTGTTGTGCCATGCAGGGGTTTTAGGCAACAAAATTCCTCTTGGATTTCATCGGAAGCACAATATCTTGCAACAACTGCCAAACGTGGAACGTTGTTTATATCCACGCTCTCATCAACTGCAATGCTAAACACTGCTGTGTCTTTTAATGCAGTCGTCTGCTTGTCCTTAATATTTTTCTGCCATTTCGTTCTGCATCTCTCAACTGTTCTGAGACAAGCAATTCTTTTATTCTAGATATGATCGTATCTTTATTTGGCAAATCATTGACCAAAATCTCTGAACTGCTGAAGAAAACCTTTTTTTTATATATATTCCCCATCTGTAAATGACTTTCCGTTTTTTTGCAATGCACTGTGCAATCTTGTAACTTCCTTCTGTAGCTTGATTTTTACTCACACTTTTATGTTTTTAAGAACACTTCTTTGCTTCTCATATCCTGCTACTGCCTTTTTGATTGATTCCGTCTTGTCTGCTTCATCAAGAAAGGTTTTCTCATGCTTCGTTTCAAAATGTCGTTGAACACTTGATGTGCAACAAACAACATTTTCACAACAGAAAGCACAAACAGCACAGTCCTTCTTTTCAATAAATCCAAATGTCTGCCCAAGAAGGCTGAAATGAACGGACATCTAACTTTGCTTTCTTAGGAGCTGCCATTTTGTCAAATGTTCCCCTCAACTCTCAGTGGGGGGAAAAAATGGTGACAGGGGGCACGCACAAGGTCAAACACAGACATGATCTGATATAAGCAGCAAACCAGGACTTAAAAATATCCAAGCCTGGAACCATTTTTAAGATGGGGGTGCTGAGCTGCACCCCCCCTTGTCCCTGTCTGCACCCCTCAGTGCCCCAGGCTGGGGCCAGTGGGACACAGCTGGGGGTGACTGCAAAGCCCCAGGCCAGGAGCAAAGCCCTGGGCCAGCTGCTGGTACCCCAGGCTTGCAGCGGGCTGAGCAAGGCCAGAGGCCTGGACCCCAGCTGGCAAGGGGCTGGCGACTGGAACCCCAGACAGGCAGCGGGGTGAGCGCTGTGGGCGGCTGGTAGCCTAGGCTGGCAGCTGAGCGGGGCCGGTGGCAGGGACCCCGCTGGCAAGGGGCCGGCGGCCGGAACCCCAGACCATCAGCGGGCTGAGCGGCTCAGCCTGCTGCCAGTCTGGGGTTCCATCCACCAGCTCATGCTAGCCGGGGTCCCGGCCCCGCTCAGCCTGCTGCCGGTCTGGGGTTCCGTTAACCCAGGCAGGCAGCGGGCTGAGCGGGGTCGGCAGCCAGGACCCTGGCTGGCAGCAGAGTGCCACTAAAAATCAGCTCGCGTGCTGCCTTTGGCACGCATGCCGCAGGTTGCCAACCCCTGATCTACCTTTGAATAATCTATGTAAAACTGTAGCTGCTGTTTCTGATCTGACCTAGGGTTCCCTCAATGCATGTAACTGCACCATCATGCGTTGGTTTGCAGTGTTCTTGTACATTACTCAGTCCCTCACACACAAGTTGCCCTTGTAGATCAGTAATTTAAAATCCTTTCTGTATTTTTTTTTCCTTTTCATCTTCTTCCCCCACCTCCTGATTTATTTTGAGAAATAGAAATAGCTCCATTATCTCTTTCCAGTGTTAGGGGAGAGAGATAATTGCAACATTCAAATGCTGACACTGTTTATCCTCTGAATGGAGCATCTGAGAAATGCTGGGAACGCAACACTTGGAGAGGACTAGTACCAGGCCACTTACCCCATGTGATGGGGTTGAAGAGACTCAACTTTGAATGAAACTGGACTAAGATCACTATAAAATTCTGCCTCTAGGGAAATCTGAACCAGATTTATAGTACAGGGACAGTCCAACCCTGTGGTACACGCCATCAGTAAAACTAAGTGTTATCCAGTGAGTTGAAAGCCTTACTTTTTGTATGTGTAGGTTTTTCCTTCAGTTAATTTTATTCAGTTAATTCTGGAGGCACTTGTCTCTTGGCCTCTGCGCTTGGGGTGCAAGTATCCTAAAAATCCAGCGTGCTTTATTGCATGTTCTTTACTTACAAACCTCATGGAAGGCTGGCTTTGTGAAAGCAGTATTCTCAATGATGATTGAACCATACTTTTGCTGCAATTAAGGGGTTGCTAATGTATCTTAATTTGAAAATTTTCAAAAGAAGCAACAAAAGCAGCACTGCTGCTAATTCCTATACACTTCTTCATAAGAACCTCCAATAGCACTCTTCTTGTGTACAAAAGTGCTACTCAGTACTAGCCTTCAGGCCTAAATTCAGCAATGCCATAACTGGGACAGGAACTTGGGTGCATATATTAAGGTAGTAAAACTTGCACGGATTTGGCATTCAGTGGGTGGGTAGGTGGATGGGTAAAATAAGGGTAATTCTCTCACACCAGGGATTGGAGCAGGAAAAGCAGGTCATGATTAAAAACAGCTCTGACCCTTTTATCAGGCTGATTTGCTTTATCTTGCACCCTCCTGAAAGTTGCTTTTTGTGCTCCTGTGTCCTTTGATGTTCAAGATACATTTTATTTTTCACACTTAATGATAGTTTAGTACAAGCTACACTACTTTAATGTTTACACTGGGCCTGTCAATCGCAGTTAACTCACGTGATTAACTCAGAGTAATAAGGATTAAAAAAATCACAATCAGTTTTAATCACACTGATAAACAATAGAATACCAGTTGAAACTTGTTACATATTTTGGATGTTTTCCTACATTTTAAAATATATTGATTTCAGTTACAACACAGAATGAAAAGTTGACTGCTCACTTTATATTATTATTTTTATTACATATATTTGCTCTGTAAATATGGCAAACAAAAGAAATAGTTCACTTCAGATAAGTACTGTAGAGCAATCTGTCGTGAAAGTGCAACTTACAAATGTAGATTTTTGTTTTGTTTTGTTTGAGTGCAGTTACTTAACAATGTAAAACTTTAGAGCCTATAAATCCACTCAGTCCTACTTCTTGTTCAGCCAATCACTAAGACAAACAAGTTTGTTTACATTTACGCGAGATAATGCTACCTGCTTCTTATTTACAATGTCACCTGAATGTGAGAACAGACGTTAGCATGGCACTTTTGTAACTAGCATTGCGAGGTATTTACGTGCCAGATATGCTAAACATTTGTATGCCCCTTGGTGCTTCGGCCATCATTCCAAAAAAGAATACGTTAATTAAATCTGTGACTGAACTCCTTGGGGGAGGACTGTCTTCTGCTCTGTTTTGCCTGCATTCTGCCATATATTTCATGTTACAGCAGTCTTGGATGATGACTCAGCACATGTTCATTTTAAGAACACTTTTGCTGCAGATTTGATGAAACACAAAGAGGGTACCAATGTGAGATTTCTAAAGATAGCTAAAGCAGTTGACCCTGCAAAATCTGAAGTGCCTTCCAAAATCTGTAGAGAGACGAGGTGTAGAGCATACTTTCAGAAGCAACGCTCCGATGCTGAAACCTACAGAATCCGAACCGCCAAAAAAGAAAATCAACCTTCTGCTTGTGGCATCTTACTCAGATGTTGAAAATGAACATGCATCGGTCCTCACTGCTTTGGATGGTTATCGAGCAGAACCAGTTATCAGCATGGACGCATGACCTCTGGAACGGTGGTTGAAGCATGAAGGGACATACGAATCTTTAGTGCATCTGGCACATAAATCTCTTGCAACGCTGGTTACAACAGTGCTATGCAAATGACTGTTCTCACTTTCAGGTGATACTGTAAACAGGAAGTGGGCAGCGTTCTCTCCTATTGTGGGGCAACTTGTTTGTCTGAGCTATTGGCTGAACAAGAAGTAAGACTGAATGGACTTGCAGGCTCTAAAGTTTTACATTGTTTCTTTTCTTTGAATGCAGTTATTTTTTGTACATAATTCTACATTTGTAAGTTCAACTTTCATAATAAAGAGATTATACTACATTACTTGTATTAGGTGAATTGAAAAATACTATTTTGTTTTTTACAGTGCAAATATTTGTAATCAAAAATAAAGTGAGTACTGTACATTCTCTATGCTGTGTTGTAATTGAAATCAATATATTTGAAAATGTAGAAAATATCCAAAACTATTTAATAAATGGTATTCTATTATTAAACAGTGTGATTAATCGTGCAATTTTTTAAATTCCTTGACAGCTCTAGTTTACAACCATTTTCCAACCCACTTAAACTGTTTGTCACTATTGCATTTGATCCAGAGTGTTTTATGGGAGTTGTACCATGCTTATATCAGGTCTGAATCTGGACCTCAGGGGATTTCCTCTTTCATACTGCACAAGAAATTCTACTTTAGGAATGCATTGGGGCTTTTTAGGGGAATACACCTCTATCTCAAAATTTGACCTAAGGAATTAAATCTGGTCAGACACATAATCTAGAATTTTTATCTCCATCTTTAAAATTTACTACTATACTACTGAGAGTGAAAATTAGAAAATTTATCATTATCAAATATTTTCCCTTGTGATTTTTGTCCTGTTCAATAGGTGTTATTTTATTCTCTCTGGATGCCTGTCCTTCCCTCCCACCCACCCCCCAAAAAAACCCCCAAACAAAATAATGCAAAATAACTTCCACACTCTATTCCCAAAGTAGTCTTGATATGAGTTGACTTGTTTAACTGCTGCCCAAGATCCAGCATACCTGCAACACAATGGGAAAGGGAGTAGTTTGATTTTTTTAGTGCCAATCAATAGTCTTTTTAGAGCACTTTTAATGTAATACCTAGATTTTTGTTTCCTCTGGTATTAAAATTCAATCTCCATAATGATGCTTCTGTCAGCTGGTTTATTCATTATTCACCTTAACACTAATCTGCCTCAGTTGGGGGATCTTTTTTAGCTAGCAGATTGTTTTAACCCTTTCTGCTCTATTTAACCAGCCATTTATTTGTCATAGGAAGTGAACATGGTTTTCTGTTTCAAAACATACATTTAATCAACGTGTATATTAAACAAAATTACTGCTGTTGCCCCCTCAAAAATATATTGGCAGCAGAAGTCCTTCCCTCTCCAAGCTGCACAGCTCTGGTTTTAGTAGCCTTCCAATGGGGGAGACTGCCAGAGATGGGGTCCTCTGTTGAGAGTAGGCAAAGGCTTGGGTCATTATTGCGTGGTCCATATTAGAAAGGAATGTTCGTAGCTTCTTTGTCAGCTAAAGACGAGGCAGTAAAAATGGTGGTCTGGGCCACCACTACTAGCTGAAGATTTAGCAAGAGCATCCTAATGTTGTAAACCATTATAATGAAAGGTGCATATACATACTTGGTAGAGGGTGAAGGCTGGGTCTGCATGTACTCTTTAAATATTTCCCTTTACCCACAAACATTATGGCCATTTAATCAATTTTGAGTTGTTTTCATTTATATTTCTTTCTGACATTAAGAAAGTAATGAGATTCGTCTCAGGAGTCAATAAAAATGAGCCGCAGAGCACATCTTTCTTTTTTTTTTCTTCTGTTGTATTGAAATTTGTTCTGAATTAGTGGAACTTGAATGTTTTTCTTTTGAATCCCCCTTAGTCTCATGGAAATCATCACCATCACCACGAGAAACCTTTACTTGAACAAAATGAAGATGCCCTGTTCAAGCATCTTGTCTTTCAAAGTGTAGAAGAAACTGCTTATTTGGATTCCACATGGAAGGGACTGACAGCCCTTGGAGGCCTGTATTTCATGTTTCTAGCTGAGCATTTGATCACTTTAATTAAGCAATTTAAAGACAAGAAGAAAAAGGTAGGGAAATTTACGTTTTGAAACCTCATTGCACTATGTAATATTCGTGTCTGTGGATATTAAAATTCTCTTTTGTAGAGAGCGGCTTGTTGATTAGATTTGGTAACTAATGAGGAATGTGCTCACAATTCAATTTTTGCTTATAAGTCTATAGTAGTATACTTTTGAGTGACCCTAACCATCTTTATGCCTTCAGAGTAGACCTATATTTATATTCCTACAAAGAAGAATTCTGTTAATTTTCTTACACAAGCAGATAATTCAGTTTGCATCTTTTAATTGTTTATCTTGAAGTTACAGTGAAAGACCTGATCTACAGTGAGTGCCATCTTAAAACAACAACAAACCCCCCCACCATTCTCCTCCTCCTCCTCCCTCCAAAAATCCCAAGCGGTTAATACGCTGGGATTGTTATGGTAGTCCTTACGCTTATGTCATTGGTGTTATTCCTATTCTAACTACTGTGGGCATAAATGTTGATATTTTACAAAATGGTGTCCACTGTAGCAAGCTACCTAGTGTAAAAATGGGTGAGAAATACTCATGAGGGTGGCAGGATCAGTCTCCCTGACTACAGCTAAACTTCTTTGCTCTTTGTAAGGTAACTCTGGGCAAATAGTTCCCAGGCAGAGCAGATGCTTGGTTTTCATCATGTTTTAATGAGACATTTTTTTAAAATTTTAGTATGCGTTAAACACTACAACAGGTAAAAATTTGGCATTTTGTTAGGTTTTAGAGGTGTTTCAAGTATAAAGTAGAACTATAGTTACTGTGTAATTCTGTATAAATAATACTTATGCCTGCTCATTGTGACATTTTTTTTTCTTCTGTACCCTCACTAATTCTTTGCCTTTTTACTCTGCTTCTGCTGACATTCTAGTACTCTTCCTGATTGTGCATTCTTTGGATATCTCCATGCTGTCCTCTTGATTTTTCATGCTGCATAAGTTTATGAATATACTGTTGTTGCTCATGTATATCCTGAAAAATAAGTAAAATATTTATAACTTCGATTTTTCTTTTGGAGTCAGAAAAAAAATGAAGATGCAGAAACTAAGAAGTTTTCAACAAATGAAGAAAAATTAGATGCAGATTATCGTAAGTCCCAGTAATACTATTGCACAACTGTATCAATCAAAAGGGTAAAGAATCTTTTCTATGCTATTGAAGGCTCATTGATCCTTTCACTTACTGTTGGCTGGATCACTATGTAACTAGGTTAGTTACATCTTTCTTGAAACAAAAACTTGATACACATTTGTATACAGAGAATTGACCTTAAGTAAGTTGATTTTTAACCTTTTTTTTTTTAAAGTTGATAGGAGTTTGAAGTAGTCCATGTGTTTTGAATTTTTAAGCTTCTACCCTTGTGATCCAGGATTGAGCACCAGAAATCAAAACTACTTTTTAAGCCCTTCTGTCTACAGAAGTTTAGGATGCTTATGCATCTACCAATTTCTAGACTAATAGTACCTGTAACTCTATGGAGGAAGGATTTTTAAGAGTCTATGCGTCTTAAGCTTACATATTTCAAATGCCTGAAGACCTGATTTTCAGAAGGGCTGAGCACCCACAATTCTAGGTGAAGTTAATTGGGGAGAGGAAAGCTGCAGGTATTCAGCATTTCTCAAAATCAGACCATTAATGAAAACCTTAAAAATTTCATGGAACAAGAGTGCCACCAAATGTCCAGATCTTCTGGTACAAGTTTACAATAAAACATTGAGCTTTTTGATTTTTATAGGCTGCTTTTCAGTACTATGTGCTCGGCTACTGAAATATCCACTATGATACGCTCTTGGATTGTAAGGTAGGAGTAAACAGGGCATGTGTGTGATTAATTTAAAACCCAGAATGAGATTACTTAATGTTATAGTGTGATCAAAATACCTCACTCTCAGCAAGAGTGAGATTAAAGCAATTCTGAGGTGAAAATATCATTACAAAATGTCTTGCATATTAGTGTGATATTTGTCAAAAATTTGTCCAAGTACAGCAGTGTTCTGTCTGAGAACAAATATACACATCCTTGTGAAAGCCCACTGAAGTTGGTGGATTGAAAGCATAGATGAAGTTGACTTTTGCACCTGTGCCTTGCTCCTTTAAACCCTGGATTTCGTGTTCTCCTGTTACCCCATTAGAGACTTCCACTTTCTCCTCTTGATCCTATTGCAAGGCTGAGTCATATACCAAACTGCAGAAAATTGAAAAAAATAAATGGGGATTTGGGTTTATTTCTGTTTCTATGTTCAGCGTTAGAAGGGTTACTTTCACTTTTTTACCGCTGTAGTAGGTTTGGGCTGAGGTTCGGCCCTCAGTGGGGCTGTGGGGTATCCCACCGCCTCGCTCTGGTCCGGCGGCAGTCAGGGACCACAGACCCACAGTTAGGGGCTCAGGCCCGTAAGCAGGGGCTGGGTCAGTTTGTGGCAGCCCAGGCCCTAGGTCAGGGCGGGGCAGCAAGCAAATAGTTACCTAGGTACCCAGCCTCTCTAGGCCAGGGGAAACAGGGGGAATCTGCCACCCAAGGAGTGGGTGGCAGTGGGGACGCAGGCCCTCCCACTCCACTGCGTCCCAGCCTGGGGCCCTAGCAGCAGCGGAAACTCGCTGCTGTCAGTGGGGATCCTGGCCACAACACCCTGACATTGGCTCTGGCAGTGCAGCAGCCAGACTGGGGTTGGCTGCCCCCGGGCTACTTCCACTCTCCCCCTCGTATGGTACCTGGGCCGTCTTAGTGTCGTCGGTGCTCTCCGCTACCTACCCAGAGGAGCGAATGCTGGTGAAGGGCAGGCTCGGCCAGTCGTCCTCGGGGTAGCTGGCACGGGGCAGGCTCGGCCAGTCCTCCTCGGGGTAGCTGGCGTGGAGCAGGCTCGGCCAGTCCTCCTCGGGGTACCGGGCGAGAGGTAGGCTTGACCGGCCCGGTGTGTCAGCAGGCTGGTCGTGGCCTGCGGCTGTTTCCAAAGCGGGAGCTCGGCCACAGACGTCTGCTCTCTCCGCCGGCCTGGCCTCCGCTAAGCTCTGCAGGCGGGCTTTTATACTTCCAGGTCGGGGCCGTGACCTCGGAGGGGCGGCCGCTGGACCCGGTGGCTCCGCCCACATTGGTATTAGGGGAGATTCGGCCCTCAGCGGGGCTGTGGGATATCCCACCGCCTCGCTACATCGCTTTAACTCATTTTTCAGATTCTTGAGCGAAACACCATACATTTTGACTCCCAGAAATGCTTCTGAGATGAACTGCTTCACCGAGTAGAACAGTACCAAAATAGTCATAGTTTAAAAAAGAAACTTTGTTCAGTTTGCAGAGACCCCAAGTCACATGGATGTATCTCCTGCAATCATATTATCTGGAGACAGCACTTTTTATCTGTAACTTACAGGAGATGGTGTTTCCGGCATGATAAATTATCTCTGGCTTTTTTTAATTGCATTTTTTTCTCCGATTTTCTGTCTCTTGTTTTTTAAGCATCTCAAGCATCTAACACTGACCATAACTACCAGAATACTAATATTATCTATTTGATTAGACAGTACCCCAAACTCTCCTGAGAATACATAAAAGCTCATATTTTGGCTCAGTGTTGCATGTCCTGCATGATCCTGTAGCCTCAACCAGAACTCTTCTGTATCTGAGATTATCTGCATAGATGTTGCAGAGGAATTCAGTTTTACTGATCCCCATTTGTAGTTTTCATGTAGCTATATGGATCAGATCTTATTTTGCAGAAACCAGTTCCCATTGGTGCTGAGGTCAATGGGGCTTTTGTTTCAGGATTATATTGCAAATTACTTTTCTGTCTTTGGAAAAAAAAAAAAAAGAATTGTGCACTTCTTTCAGTGTCACTCACTGCAGGTAAAGAATTTAACTGATGTGCCAGTTAGAGCCAATTCTTAATTTAACTGACCTAGCTTGACATTAAATGTTTAATACAACTTGCTATGTCCTTCTGTATTACATACTTTTCTTCTGTGCATATGTCTGACTATTTTTTGGAAGTTCAGACTTATGGATTTGCATGAGTGATCAATTACATCTATATCATCACAAAAAAAGTGCCTGAATTGATCCTTATAATATAACTTCTCTGATTTTGGTGGCTTATAATTCAGCCTAAAATTCATGAAAAGTACACACAATGTGATTGCAGACTTTTAATTTTCAAAACAATTGGCCTACAAGTCAAATTGTGCAAGTTTAAAAAGTAAAAACTGTACACATTTGTGCTTAAGAAAAATAGTTAAACTAGCAAATGATTTAATATGTAATATGGTATAATCTATTGTTGCTATGAAAATAATATATATTATCAGCTGAAAGAAGTTAGATCACCACAGTATAACTTGTGGGGATTTTGTTTTTTGGAAATGAGTCTTTAGAGATGAGTTAGGAGTTAAGACTTCTTTTTTATAATTTTGTAACATTTCCGTAGAATTTCATGGCGAGTTTAGGGAAATTTTGAGATGATATTTAAAAGGAAAGTATTGTGGAAAGTCATTCAAAATATTGCCATACTTAGTCACAGTAGAAGATGGTGTCAGCCTCAATTCTGAATTTCCTTGCTTTTCTCTTATTGTAACATAACGTTGTATGTGATTATTTTTATGTACAGTTATGTAGTCTTATTTATTTTCTTATTTACAAGGGCCTGAAGGTTACCTAGGGTCAGAGTCACAAGATCCATCACACTTCATTTCTCAGCAACCTGTGGTACAGGAAGAAGAAGAAGTCATGATAGCTCATTCCCATCAAGAGGAAGCTGACAATGAATATGTATCCAGGGGGTGTAGAAATAAATGTCATTCACATTTACATGACACTCTTGGACAGTCAGATCATCTGAGTCACCATCATCATGACTACCATCACATTCTGCATCACCATCATACCCAGAACCATCATCCACACAGCCACAGTCAGCGCTACTCTCGCGAAGAGCTGAAGGATGCTGGGATTGCTACTCTAGCCTGGATGGTGATTATGGGTGATGGACTACACAACTTCAGTGATGGCTTAGCAATTGGTAAGTGTTTATACAATTCTTTTGCCTTCTCATGTAATAACAGCAAGGTAAAATTGTTTCTCTGCTGCCACTTAACTTCTAGTGAGAGGATATCGGATAAGAGCCTTGCCTTAATAAATTAGCCAGTGATCTGCTAGTGGGTTTTGAATGGATCAGTCAAGGTTACAGATTGGAAACCTCGATAGCTAGTGCCAAACAGTAAACCATGACTGATTTGCTGCAACTGAGAAAGGTATAAGGATAATGACCAGATAATAGAAAAGACATTTCTTAAAGAAACAGACAATGGGGAGTTATAAATATTGCTTTAATTATTTTACACCCGAAAGATCAGACCAAGATTTTCAAAACTAGGAGCCTAAAGATAGGCACCTAAATTCATGCTTTAGGTACTTAAGTAGTTGGCCTCACGTTTCAAAAGTGCTGAGCACCCACTGATTTCAGGCTTGATGTTAATTCTCCTTATGCTGTGTTCATAAAGATAGGTTATCCCATGTCCTCACTCCTATAGCCTGTCTATAGTAGTCTCCAGTTTTCATTTTAATCAGGTCATCGGCTTTCATATTTTTCCTCAAGCTTCATTGACATTCACCAAGATCAGGATTCATACTTTAAATGTCCAGAGTCCCTAAGGCAGGGGTTCCTAAACTTTTTGACTGAATGTTTTAGTGTATATCCTGTGACTTTTTTAAAACCATAGCTTGTCTAAAAGTATAACAATATCTCCTCTTCCTGCATGGTTTATTCGTGTCCCTATTCCTTCTCTCATGCATGTTCTATTCCTTCAGTTCTGTCATACTGGAATGCTATAGCTTCCTTGGAAAGATTTAATGAGCTATTCACAAAAACCATATATGCAACACTGCATTTTGGACATTAGACAAGTGAGGTCAGGTTGGCTGTCCCCTACCTTTCTCTAGCAAGATGGATAATGAGAATTTTGGATGTAAAGTAAGATGGTGATAGGGTGGGAAAAATGTTTTTTAAATGAGTAATCAACACCAACAAGTCAAGATCATGGAAGACTAACAGTTTTCTAGATGCGCTTATTGCTCTACAGATGTTGGATTCATTTTTAATGTTGGGTCATTTGCAACAATGCCGTGTAGTCAGTTCAAGGGCAGTAGCTTTACTGTAAATCACATTGCAGAGCTGAATTCCTTTTTCTTGTTTGCCTGAGGAAGGGTTACAATAAGTGATAGTGTATAAATATTTCTTTGGACTTCAGAATAATTTTTCAGTGATGTGGACAAACACACATTCTGTATCCAATTCATAATATAATATGACAGAGAACTTCTGATTTAACATTTTTTAAAATAAAAATGTGACCATTGAATCTAAATTTTCCAGCTTGTCAGTAGTGAAAACGTGGTAGGAAAAATAAAGAGGATTTGCATGTAATAAAAGCCAAGAAGAATCAGTTATCCTAAGTATATGTGTGAGACATTTGGGAAAGGATGGATTTGATGGACATGAAGTAAAATACAAGGGAAGGCTAATACAGTCTGTAATAAATGAGACCAGCCAATTTAACTGATTCATCTAGACTACTAGAAAGATGGATTTTTCCATCTGATCTGTCTAAAATTTCATATTAAGGGACAGCCCACCCTGCCAATCTTATGGGGAAGGAAAATCCAGGAATCTTTTTCCTAATGGTTCCAGGTATGAATGAAAAAAAATATTATTTATTTTTGGTTGCAGGAAAATATTAGGCTGAAATAAACCTTCTCATTTGCAGTAAATGAGTTCTTCTCAGATTCATAATGATTCCTTACTATATTCCAGCATGTATGTATTTGGTTTTCTTGGACCTGTTTTATTTATTGGAATAGGATAGGACTCAAAGGTACTAAGGTATACTAGAATTCTGGTAGTATTGTTACAACATTAAACATAATAAAGGGACAAGTTCCTGCCACCATAAGCAGAAGAGGGTTTTTTTTTAATGGTGATGTGCTCTTAATAAATGGTTAAAATGTAGAACATCTTAAAATTATAGATAAACCTTTTGTAACAAGCACCCTTATTTTTATTTTTTTTTTAGTCTTTCAAAGGAAAATCCCTTCAGACTATATTAAATGTCCTTGTTTTAGGGAGACTATTTTAGGTAGTAGCTCCTTGAGTTGAAGTCTAATCTTTGTCTTTTTGCTTCTTGAACAAAAACATACATGAAGGCAAAGAAGAAAACAGTGAAAGATAGGAAAATGCTGCTTCTGTCTCACTAAAGTTTGGCTTGGTCTACACTACCCCCCTAATTCGAACTAAGGTACGCAACTTCAGCTACGTGAATATCGTAGCTGAAGTTCGAAGTACCTTAGTTCGAATTAGGGGGGTAGTGTAGACCAAGCCAAACT